CATCATCGTCCTTAGCTTCTTCATAATTATTTTGTTAGACTTTATAAATCCTCTTCAATTTTTCTTTTTATGTGTTACATGTGGTATCAAGTTTATTTTATAACTCAAAATCATTTTTTCCCCTCATTTGCAATGAGAGACTTGTGAGTTGCTTTAATCAACTATTATGTTTTATTCCATTGATTTGAGAAAGATTACTGTCTGACACTTACTTATATCTTCTTAATTTATTAATTATTCAAGTTTTTCTATTTATCCTCTGGCAGAATGCTCTCTACCATACTTTGCTACTGCTACTCCTGCTACTATTACTTTTACCTATTGCTATCATTTACTGCCATTGGTGCTACTACTTATTGATTTTTCTACTATTATTACTATTGCAACAGCCTAAATTAACGAACACGGTAATTAGTATAGAAATTTAATTTCCATAAGTAATTAATAATTTTAATAATGTTTTTATAACATTAGATATGGTAGCATGTGGCTGGTTATGAACTATTAATTTTAAACTTTGGGGCAGCTTCACTATTTTGCTTTTCAGAATGTAACCAATTTTTTTTTCTTGCTGTTTTTTTAAAAAAATTCTTGTAGTAGGAAGCTAATTTTTGCAAACAAATATGCTAATATGTAATAACTATAAGCAAGCTGTGGTTTGATTTTTTTTAATATTTCATGCTACTCTTAGCAATTTTTACAATTAATTGCTTTACCTAAAACAGCTTCATAATATTCTTTATAAAAAGCTGCTACCGCATCCAACGGAGCCATTGTGGTATTATTAGTTTGAGACCATACTTCTCTGTTCCAATTTTACGTTGTGTTATGTTTAAGTGATGTTTTTTGGGTTCTTATGGCATACTTGATTTTAGTGCCAAAATTCTTGCGTCTATTTTTTTTTCTTTTCAATTGATTCAAGGTTATGTCCCCTTATTCTTGATTCTGAGCTATGTACCACAACTAAAATTTTATTGGATAAGCTTTTCATATATTATTTTTTCTTATTTATTCATGTTCTAGCCGATCCCACATAGTGGGACAAAGGTTTGATGTTGTTGTTGTTGTATTTATTCCATGTTCCTTTTAGGAGGCTGAATTACTAGAGGCTAGACAATTAAAATCTTTTCGTATGAATAAAGAACTATTGATAGAGCAGCTATTGGAGGAATAAAGGTCATAGGCAGAATGCAGAAATGGAGCTTAATAATTTACAGGAAATTCAAGTACATCTTTTAACATGGAGAAAACATCTTGATGGCTGTGGTTTTTCTGCTCTTGGCTGCGGGATGGCAGGTTTCTTAACGTTGTTGTTTTGGGTGGACTTTTTTACTGTTTTTTGGAGGTTGTGGACAATGATGAGCCAAGGTCTACACCATTCGTTCCCTTGGACTAAATGCTTAACTAGAACCAATCAATAATATAACTCTGTCCAATTCGTGACTACAATTTTCTTTTCGATTTTCTTTATTGTTAGTGAAAATTTAAAGATAAGATGTGTGTTCATCTATAAATGTATTAAAATTATGAAGTAAACTATGAAATGTTAACTCATTAATTATTTTTTGGTGGGTTTACACATTTGCATTAATTGAATAAGAATCAGAAGCCATCTTTTTATCTTTGCTCTCTGCTTACTTGATTTATATTTTACTTGAGTGCTCATTTGTGTTCAATCCTGATGCTTATTTATCTGAAAAATTTATATCTCTAAAAGAAATAATGACATTCACAGGATACCCACTGATTGGTTTTAAAGGTTTTAAAAATTCAAAGTGCTATCTTACTCTAGTTCCAATATGTATCAAATTGTGTTTACTTTAACTTGTATATAATATCATGAGAAGATATATGAGAAACAATGAGATAGTTCCATTACCAAACGAGAAATAAATGATGCAAGCTCTCAATCTTTCTGATGAAAGAAGCTTCAAAGCACTAGGCGTCATGCTCTTCAAGTTGTAAGGATAGGGTCAATTCTCAAGAAGTTCTCCTCTCGGTGGAAAAGTTTTCCGATGTGTACAGAGAAGCTTGCAAGAAAATGCTTTCATCCATGTCAATCAATCCTTAGGTGGTGTTATACTCTTTCCTTCATTTTACTCAGGTTGACTAATTAATGAATTTTGTATTGAGAGTGATGGTACTTGACCCAATTAATAAAATTGTATGTGCCAATGGAATCAGCCTTGAGCTTAACCTTTGGTTTCTTCATGGAATTGATTTATTTTCACTCAGCTCGTCCAATTACATAAAGATCATTTTGTTTGTACACTTCATTTCATAAAATACTTAGTTTATTTTATGTTCATTGTTTGAATAGACATCAATAAATATTAATGAGCTGTTTTTCGGTTTTGGAAAGTGAAAGCTAGATTATTTTATTTCAAGTAATATGGTGTGTTTCAACTCTAAAGAATTATTCTTCAGCAAGGAATTTTATAAAGTAGAATACCACCTAAACTTTGGATACTCTACAAATTAGTAGTTCTTCCAATAACACAACCATAATATTTATATTCAGTTGTTGCAATCTCATTTTACCTTTTAATATTTTCTTATTCATGCACACTCTGCAAAAGAGAGATTTGTGTTATCAAACTTGATATACCTTTTTTGATTAATGTGTCAAAGGCTGACAAATGCTCAATGAATAGATTTCTGAAGCATCAGTCAGTTGAAATCGCAGCACAGTTATTGTTCCTGTTGGAAGCTATTGCGAGGAAGGATGGTCAGCATTCAGAAACATTATACTGGAAATAAACAAAGAAGTGCCCCGGTTCTTCATACCAAATCAGGTTTATATGCATAAACATGGAAATAAAGTAGTTTTTACTTTGCGTCCATAATGTTGTGATCATATTTTCTTGGAAGCAACAACACCTTGAATCATCTGAGCGAGTTCCAGGACTTTCAAATGATGTGGGGGCTGGTTTCATATTAGGATCAGGTCATAGCATTCAACCAGTTACAGGTCCATAATGTTGAGGGAAAGGGAGTGTACTTTCCTGCGGAGTTTTCTAGTACAAATCCTATAGATACATCAAATTATGCTCTAGTGTGATTGTTTTTTTAATCTTCTTTGTTTTGCTTTTCTTGTTCTTTTCTTATTATTGTGATTGGTTTAAAGTGTGATTGTTTTTTTAATTCCTAATTTTTTTAATATTACATTCTAATATAAGGGTAAAATTTTTTGTTGGAATTGGATTTTTTTTCTTTTTCTAAACTTGTTGATAATTGTTTTAAGAATAAATGTTGCTTACTGTAAAAACCATATATTTGTTGCATCAGTTGGGCATATCTAATTCTACATTGCATGTTAAGTGACCTATACTTCTAATCGCTACAGCTTTCACCTATACAGATTAGATCGATGTCTCACCAGCAGTTATGTGGTGGTCTTACATTACATAGTATTGTTGGAACCTTATGATGTTTTCTCTTATGAATTTACTCATTTCTTTGTGATAAAAGCTGATCCATTTATCTTTAATTGTGGAACTTTTTTTATGATATTATTAGGATGGTTATGCTAGGTTAGGATTCTATTAGGTACTGCTTTTGGAAATTGTTCAAGTTTTTTTATTGATAGTTGCTAGCAACGAAAAAAAACATAAAAGAATATGATTATTAAATTATGTGATACAATACAATAAGAAATATTTGAGATACATTTAAATTATGTGATAAAATAAGAAATTTATGTGTTAAAAACTTTAATTTATTGACCGTATCTTGTGATTTATATTGAAGTATGTAAAAATAAGACACTCAAAGTTTAGATGACAAATTTTTTGGCCATGCATTATTCAGATTAATCAGACGTACTTTTTGGAGTCACTCATAGCTTGGTGGTTGTAATTTTTTACTTATTTCACTTTTGTATGGTTGTACAGGGAATAATTGCTTTTATGAGTAACTATTTTATTGAATCCAAGAAGCAATACAAAAAATTTGGTGACAAGAGAAAAGAAAGTAGGGAAGAAAAAGATAAAACTGGTTAGGACGAGCTATCTAGAGTAAAGAAACACGTTAGATACATGTTGAATCGAATGAATTACGAGCAGAGTTTGATTGATGCTTACTCTGGTGAAGGCTGGAAGGGTCAAAGGTTTGTATCATATATTTTTGTATTTATAACATTCATTGGTTATGCCTTTTTTTTTCTTTAATCTGTTATTTATATTTATTCATTTTATTGTTCTATTATGTTTAATATTTGTTGTGCAATCACTACAGGAAAAATGGCAAATACCGGCGGTTTTCACCGGCGGTTTATAGACCGTCGGTATTACCGACGGCTCCGCCGGCGGTTAAGCCGTCGGACTGTATTGACAGTCAAATCGGCGGCTTAGCTACGATACACCGTCGGTATTAACGACGGTTTATAAACCGCCGGTAAACCGCCGGATATCAACATTAACCGGCGGTTATCCGGCGGTCTAAACCGCCGGTGATAAGTGATTTTTTTCCGGCGGTCTAGACCGCCGGAAAACCACCGGTAAAAGCCCTAATACGAGCCCCCTCACCCCGCTCATTTCATTTTCACTCTTTCCTTCTGTTAGCTGAATTTAGATGCCTTTCCGTTCTTCTGAAGTATTCTCTATGATATAGCAATATTTATATTTTCTAAAATTGCTACTGTTGGTGGCTTTGATGATAATTCATTTTGGATCTCACTACACTCAACATCTCTTCTCACAATAAATGGTTGTGCAAATAACCAGTGTAGAGCTTGAAATGAAAGACAAATTTGTTGTAGTGGCTATATTTTCCATTTGGTTTATGATGTAGTTTTGTGATATGTTAGTGACTTACTGTTAAGTAGCTCTTCCATTGTCTGATTATGATAGCGCTTTAATTTACTGTCAACTACTTTGGTTGCTTTGATTTTTTTTTGAACAATTTTTTTTCTTTTTGATATAATATTAGAAGAAAAAAAACTATCAAAACAGCATCCAAAGGTGTAGACCAGATCTGATGCAAGCCTTACAATATATGTATTATAGAAAAGCATCCTTCTCAAGTAGCTTCAGAACCTCATCTTGATTTGTTTAACTTGGCTACTTCAATTGGTGTTTTACCATCCAAATTTTGGAGAGTAACTGCGGCGTCATTTTCTAACAGAAGTTCTACGCATTCCTTCCGTCCGTGTCCAGCAGCATAGTGAAGAGCAGTGTTTTTGTTCTTGTCCAATGCATCAACAGCAGCTCCAGCCTCGAGAAGAACTTTGGCACATTCCATCTCTCCATAGCCACATGCGAAATGCAAAGCTATTCTGCCCTCTGAATCCTCTTCGTCCTTGTCAGCTCCAGAAGCAAGCGTACTCTTTAGAGACTCAACATCGCCAATGCTGGCAGCTTGATGGACAGGAGATTCATCATCGTATTCTGCATCCTCTTCTCCTTGCTCAGATCCTGATGGCTTAGATGAGGCTGCAGGCTCTCCTGAAGATACAATTCCCATAGCATGGCCAAGCTTTTGCAGGACGTCTTGGTCATTCCAATACTTCATCATTGTTGCTGGGCCTCCAATTTCTATCTCATCGAGGATTTGCTTCAATGATGGATCTTCCCTTATTTTTTACTTACGTTCTTCCATTTGTTCTTTATGAGCAGGATTAGTCAAATTGTCGAGCATGGAAGACATGGAAGGATCCTGCATCAAGGCATTTCCAAGGCATTCAGCCATGGTCATAAACTGAGGATTCTGCATCACTTGTTGCATGGATGTAATATTGCTGTGCATCCAACGGAGGAACGCCACCCTCTCCAGCTACAGCA